ATATAGTGTTTTAAGTGCCTAGTTTGAGACTGTAGAAACCAAACACTGGTAGTTCAGCGGGACAATGGGGTGGGTACGTTAAATGCCAAAAGTAGGGTGAATATATAGATTTAATAATAGGAAAACTTGAAAAATACAAATTCCACTAGAATTTTGCCTTGATCTCAATGAAAACCATCAATTAGCAATATTTTATATCACAACTAGGGACTGTCTGAAATCAACTCTTCAGTACATCCCTTATAATCAATTTATAACAAAAATGGGAATAACAGATATATATAGACAAGGTGATAAAGCAATACCGCAGTGCACGTTGGTTTCTAATACAAGTGAGGTGATTACTAACTTATAGTACAAATTGGGGTATTATATCCATACTTATGATAAACTCAAAATAAATGGTAATTTACCCCTAAAGAGCTGATAGCCGTATTTGGTGGTAGTTTCCAACTCTTATAAGTCAGGTAAAATGGAACAATAGAATGAAGAGATTTTGTATTTCGTGTAAATTTTTTAATTATAAATCGCAAAGCGCTTTCGGCTAAAAAGCCATCATCAGTGCTATACCTGCAAGTAAGTAACATTTGTGAAATTTAAAAAACAAATCTAAAAAGGTAGATTACTTACTCGTCAAGTATTTACAAAAAGGTCCAAAAATTAGTGATCACAAACATCATTATGGTACAAACGGGATTATGAACAGACATACATTTAACAAAAATGTTCCCTAAAGGGTTATTGTAAAATTTTTCCAAAATACATGTTGAGATTGTTTTGTTCAAGTCCAGAAATAGCACGAGGGACCTTAACCTTATTTATTCTGGAAAATGTTTGATAATTTTTAACCTTGGTAAAATGTTGACAATGACTGAGTGTCAATGTCTATGACTTAGTTAACATGTGTATGAAGTAGACAAGTGACATAATGAAAAAAGCGCTTGGGAAAGAATTGACAAGGTGAGCAGAAAAGCTGTCTGAAAATTTTGAAACATTCTGAAAGGTAAAATAAGATGAAGTGGACTTCAATCCAGGCTAAAGAGTAAACCTTTTTTAGTAAAATTGAGAGAAAAGAGTTTCCAATCAAGACTTAAGAGTCCTAGTGTCCAAACTGGAAGTCCAAGGAGAATTCCTGTAGACGAATGCCTCTCCGAAGCAAACATACCACCAGAATACCTCCAGACCCAGAACGAAGGCCGAACTCAAGTCTCAAAAGTAAGCCGGATCCTGAATGCAATTTTGTTGTGTTGGGTGAAAATTAAAGAGCAGGACTTCCATTTCGGACTCAAAAGTCCTAGTGTTCGAGCCGAAGATCTAAGGATGCCCAACCCAAGTTGTGAATCCACAAGAGAATGACAACATCAGTTGAGCCTCCCGACCTCAAGCGTAGACCGGACTCAAGTCCGAAAAGTAAGCCAGATTCAGACTTGTTGAAGCCGAAATCCGGAACAGTGTCTTGTATGAGTTATAATGGATATCATCATGGAGAATTGCTTATTATTTCAAACGTCTATGTAAAGGAATGTAACATCTATTTAATTGTACTTGTGTGTTCAAACAAAGGTCATTGTTTCGAAGTTCTTTTTCGATTTCTAAATCTTCCAAAAAATCTAGTCTATTGTAATTTTTTGAATTAACCTCTTTCAGAATTTTTGAATTACGATTTGGACTGAAATTATGTTTACTGAATTTGATGTGATGGCCAAAAGCTGAAAATTCTGTTTTATTCAAATGTTCTCCTATACGAACTTTCAAAGGTCTACAAGTTCTGCCTATGTATGAAGCTTCACAATCATTGCAATTTAATTTGTAAATACCACTTTTAGATAATTTATTGATTTTATCTTTAGAATTAACCAAATGTTTGCTCAAATTATTAGTGCTTTTGAAAGATATTTTGGTGTTTGTTAACTTGTTTTTGATGAAACTTGAAACTTTTTGAGAGATGTTTTCATTTGTGAAAGGTAGGGATATATATCTGTAAACTTCTTCTCTAGGATAAGTTAGATTATGTTCTCTCTTATGTTTGATTTTTTGAATTAGCTTTGGGATCAAATTTGGGTTGTAACCATTATTACATGCTATTTGTTTGATAGTATTCAGTTCTCTGTTGTATTCAGTTGATGATAATGGAATATTGAGAAGCCTGTGGATGTAGCAATAGAAAGCTGCCATTTTGTGCTGATGGGGGTGATTAGAGAAAGAAGGAATGACATGGTCAGTTTGTGTTGGCTTTCGGTATATGCTGAATTCCAGTCTGTCTGATTTTTTGATCGTCAAGTCTAGGAAATTCAGTTTATTGTCTATTTCAAGTTCAAGAGTAAATTTTATGTTAGAATGAATTGAGTTTATTTTTTGTAAAAGGTTGTTGGCAGTGTCTGAATTTCCATTGATGAAAACCAAGCAATCATCAACATATCTATACCAATTTAAAATCTCAGAATTATTGTCAATGATTATGTGATTCACCTCTAGGTCATTCATGAATATATCTGCCAAGAAAGGAGATAAACAACTACCCATTGCTAAACCCTCAGGTTGTCTATAAAATTTTTCATTGAAAACAAAAAAATCTTGAGAAAGGCAAAAATTTAGTAAAGTTAAAATTTGTGTTACCGTATCTTCAGGAACATGATTTTCCTTAAGGATATTACCTACTAAAGGTACAGTCTCTGATTTAGGAACAGAAGTGAAAAGGTTGCTGACATCAAAGGAAATCATAAGGCAATTTTCAATGGGGAAATTTAAATTTGATAATTTAGTGGTTAGATCTAAGGTATTACTCACCGAGTGCTTGGGTTTGAAGTTAGTTAGGTCCTTAATGAGGTTGTAAATGAAAGCTGCTAAAATTGAAACTGGGGTGTTAGTAAAACTTACTACTGGTCTGATAGGAATGTCGACTTTGTGTATCTTAGGCAGTCCGTATAATCGAGGAATGACCGGATTGCTAGAAATTAAATTGTAGGGAGCATTGTAATCCTTGAGGAGTTGGTCACTAACTTTGATGAGAGTTTTTGTTTTCTTGATGAAGGTATTGAAAGGGTTCGAAGGAAGAATTTTGAAATCATGTTCTGTCAAGAAAGTTTCAACTTTAGTGATGTAGTCAATTTTGTTCATAATTACTAGACAATTACCTTTGTCTGCTTTTGAAAAAACTAAGTTATGATCCTTGATTTTCATTTTAATATTCTTAAGTAAAAATTGAAAATGTTTCTCCCTATCAGTTAACTTTTTAGATTTATCTTTCTTGACTCTATATAGGAAATTTTGAATATCATTACGGATAACCTTTTTGATGTTGTTGTCTCTTGAAAGAAGTTCAATGGCAACATCTATTTCAATAGCAAATTCTAGCAAGTTTCTCTCAGAAACATTATACCCTAAAGAATATTTCAAACCCAACTTCAACAACTCCATCTCTTCGTCATTAAACCCAACATCAGAAAGGTTCTTGACTCTCTCATGGAAAATGAAATCTGAGAATTGTTTATTTCTGTTATTGTTGGAATTGTGGAAACAGACTCACCAAAATTGAAGGTGACAGGCGAATATGTTCAACTGTGGAGTCAAGCTGTCAAGTACAGAGTGTAGGCGGCCACGTCGATCCTATACAGGGTGTTGAGCGTACAGGACAGAGAGTGACGCTACAGGGTGCATACCGGATCCATACAGGGTCCAAACAGGGTGGACTCGAAGAGCTGTTTACTCCTCCGAAACTATACAGGGGGTTCTTAGGGTTCCTTGTTCATCAGCAGGCGCTTCTTTGGGGCTTGCAAAAAAAAGGGCCGAACCGGTGGATGACGCAGATCGGAAGCCAGGAGATAATTCCGGGAAAATAAGAACCCTGATGTGATGGTGGTCGGGTTCTTGATCGGCTGATGTCAGCCTCGTGGCTTTCGGCCTTAAATCCCTCCAATTTGAGGTATGGTACCAGAACCAAAATTGGTCACCATGAAATGAGAATTCGAATCGAATTAATCCCAACACTAATGGAGAAAGAATAAATCAAAATATGTACAATGCGAAATCGAATCTCTGGCTTACTTGTCACACGAGTTGGATCAACCTTCTCCAGGAAAAATGGCGAGATATCTCGTGAAGATGATGGGCCGTCCTTCAACCGGAAGATCGGTCTTTATCTTAAAAACGCCCCATACCTCAGAAAAGTACTAGTGGGAGATTTTCCCGCAAACACATTATAGATGGTATTTCACCACCACAGAAAGATGAAAAATATCCTAGTTTCAACAAGAAAATACTTAATTCACCCGATATTAGTAAACATTAACAATTTCTCATTTAGTTTTCGTTGAAATTGAGTTTTCGGCAGTTAAAGCCGTTTTGTCTACACAACAAATTTCAAACAGAGACATGCGCAGAAAGGCCTCGGAACTACGTCGACTCATGACGCAATCCTCTTCTTTTCCGATGGATGAACGACTTCATCGAACGAGACATAAACACTAGGGTTATCACACCTACTATCCGATTTAAACAACAAATCACTATTTTGAAAAATCCCGACATCATGCTGAGCTTAGTCCTTCCATAATCAATCAATTTTGAGGGCCATTCAAAAATCGATGAAAAATCAACTACTGTCAATGACAGATGTTAGCAACTGCTAAAAGTACGGAGAATCATAAAAATAATGACATTGTCCTTCAAAATAAAGCAGAGCAGCAGTGGGACTCTGTAACTCAAAGCGAAAGCAAAAGCATGCGTAACCGAATGCTATCGCTTTTTTGGTACTCTGTATCGATATTCGGATTAGATCGGTAATGCCGAAGTTGTATTCGGAAGCAAAGCAAAAGCGACAAGATTTCGGCGGCGTGATCTGCGCGATTGTGCTTTTATCTCTTTCCTTTCAGTTGGTGTTTCACAATTTCGTCAATATTCTTGTTGAGGTTTGAGGTTAGATCGCATTAGATTGTTTATTTTGTTTGAATTCATAGTCTCTCGCTCAAATTTTATATTCAGTTTATCACTTTATCAGTATTATGAATAAGCAATTGAAAACAAATCCCTGCCAATGGAGTCGGTTTTTAGATTTTGCTGAGAAGAATCCTGTGGTTCTGACGAAAAAAATGGAAGGCCCCTTTGGTAGGGAGAAGTACAACAAGTTGTGGACTGAACTGACCAGCTCTTTAAATAGTATGGGGTATATAGTGAAAACCACCGAGAAGTGGCAAAAAGTGAGTATAATCCTTCAGAATTGAAAGGATAGATAGTATTTTATGATTTTTCTACTCAAATCTGTGGCCCCTTCACTCAATCATTAATTGTTGAAGGCTGTGGCTGACTGGAAGGGGAAAGTCAGGACAAAAGCAGCTGAAATAAAAATTGAGCTGAAGAAAACAGGTGGAGGAAGTCCAGCAGGAAAACAACTTTCTGAAACTGAAAAGAGGTTGATAGGAATCATGGGATGGACATCAATAAGGGGAGACGGAACTCTCGAGCTTGGATGCCCCTCAACCAGTACTGTGAGTAAAGTTCACAGTAATCTCTTGTTTGAAATGTTGAAGGTACACATTGGTCTGAAGTGAAATTTTCAACTATTTTTTTTTTAGATTCCTGAACAAATCCCAGAAACTCAGATAGAGTTTGAACACAATTATGACTTTAAAACAATGCCTCCGTCTCAAAGGAATGTATATATCCCACCACCACCATTAATTGGTATATCATCATCATCTTACATTAATATGGATAAATCTATAGTGTCTGAGACAGCTAAATATGGACCCAACTCCACCTCAACACCACAACATTCTCCTGTGGATAACGAAAATATACCTATGCCTGTGGAAGTGAAGAATAGCAGAAAACGTAAACTGCCTATTAAAAAAAAAACTTTCATTTCACAGAAGCGTTCTAACACTGTCAATTTAGAAAATATGCATAATGAAACACTAGGCATATTAGGAGAAATAAATTCAAACTTGAAAAGACTGGGTGATTCTCAAGAGGAACTATGTGGAATCCATAATAAAATTTTAGATGTCCTATTGCATACTAAATGAATATATCAAAATATATTCATTTCATATTAGTAAATATGTTGAATGACAGATAGAGAAGTGGAACCATTTTTCTATTGAATTTTGTTTGTTAACTAATTTTTTGTACAACTGTCAAAAATCTTGCATCTCTGCACCAACCTTATATTTTCAACTATGATAGTAAATACTGTCTGTAAATTATTTGGAATTTTCTCCTCGTTTCTATAAATAAAATTATGGGTAGGCATTATTATTTATAGAAATGAGTAGAAAATCCCAAATAATCTACAGATATGATGAGTAATAAGAGTTTGAATAATTTCAATTTAAAAGCAAGAACCTTTTCCACCTTGCTGCTGATTAGAAATACAATCGAGAATGAAATGCTTTTTTGTTACTAACACCAACACACTGTCCTTTATATTTCTTTCTGCTATGGTTGCAGATTTTCAGACAGTTGTACAAAGAATGTTTTGTAAATGATACTAACCATTGTGATGAATGTACCTTTTTCATGATAAGATTTTGTTTGCCTCTTGTTAAGATTTTCACTATTTATTGTGGAAACTAATTTTGTGATGAAAGTACCTTTATTTTATTAATGAGAAAAACTGTTTTTTTTCTTATGAAATCATATATTTTTATTTTTTTTATTTTTATGTTCAAATTGGGAATGATTCTGTTTTTGTGAATATAATTTATTGATCAAAGTTCTCTTACTATGAACTTTGTGAAACAGAATGTTCATCTACTCTTAATAAATGTTTTTGTTTTCTTAATATATGTACAGTGTGGTCATTTGAATGTGCAACATAATATGTTGCACACTCAATATTATGGGAATTTTCTTAATTAATTGCACAATCAAAATACAAATATGTATTGCCAAAGCATATTTGATATTCATATTAAGCTCACTCATAATGGTTGCAGGTTAAACAGCATACAGAGTAGGTCAAAAAATATAAAAGTGTACAAGAGTAAAGTACTCTTATTTTAAAAAATTGAGCAAAATGTTATTGAGAAGTGTTATTTAGTATTGAAAGTTATGCCTAAATAACAAAACATGACCACCTACATTTTTTAAAATTTTATCTAAGCAACTTTCTTAACATTTCACTGAATTTTCTGAAATAACTGAGTACTGTACAATTTTTATATTTTTTGACCTACTCTGTATGCTGTTCGACTTGTAACCATTCTATGTACCTAATATGATTATTGAACATGCACTAACTTTTGCCAATATTTGTATGTTGGTTGTGCAATTAATTAGCAAAACTCCCATATGTTGCACACATAAATGACCACACTGTATAATATAAATAGGTTTGACATTTTCTAGTTCTTTCTGGGCACCATATTATATTGTTGTTCCAGTGGTTTTTTAAATATGTAGGAATGTGATAGCCCTGAAAATGGGTAATTACACAGGTAATTATCACATTGGGTATAGACAATTAAAACATCCTTTCCGAAAATACAGATTTTTATTTAATTTCATTCAGTTTTGAAAATATCTAGTGATTATGTTTTTCCGAATATGAATCCCTTCATTGAAGATGTTGAGAGGTGGCTGATGTTCTGGATGATTTCCTTCGATATCATCCATATCTTGGAAAATGAGATTCTCATCTACTGGAACTCTCCACTTAACACACATATTGTGCAGGATGGAGCAAGCATTAACAATGATTGCCACTTTTTGAGGTCCATACCGAAGTTTTCGTTCCCCTAGGAGACAACGAAAGCGTCCTTTCAAAACCCCATTAACCCTTTCAATACAATTTCTTCCAAGGATGTGGGAATCATTGTAGCACTTCTGAGGTGTATTTGGAAGGGCTCCCTGCACAGGAGTCATTAACCATGGTTCTTGTGGATAACCAGAGTCGCCTAACAACCAAGTATTCCTTTGACCGTTTTCATAATCATTTTGCAGTTGGACTTTTATAAGGGATTGACGCCAAATGAAGGAATCATGACAACTTCCTGGGAAGTTGGCATTAACATTTAAAATTAGTAGATCCTGATCACAAATCAGCTGTACATTTTTTGAGTGGTATCCTTTTCTATTTATGTAATTATGCTCTTCATCTGGGGGAGCTATCATAGCAATGTGAGTGCAATCTATTGCTCCAACAACTCCAGGCATACCACATCTTTCAAAAAAATGTACTTTATTCATGGCCATTTGTTCATTTCCTGGGAATCTTATCCATTCCCCATGGAAATGGTTTTGAATCAGCAATGATACTTCATGAATAGATCGGCTCAGGACTTGTTGGCTCATTGCTAAGATATACTCTTGGCCTACACCTCTCTGGTAATTCCCAGTAGCGTAAAATCGCAAAGTTGCTAGAATTCTCAATTCACAAGGAATTCTTGTCGTTCTTGATGCTGGTTGCATCAACGGCACTAGTTCATTGAACAGGAAATGTGTAATATCCTTGTTGACTCTGAACAATTCAACAAATCTTTCATCTGTTAAGCTGAAAGGGTCACTTCGATCACGAAGGAATCTACTTTCGTCTCTATAGATATGCAGTTGATGTCTACGTTCGAGTGCATTGAAAATCGCTATGTTTGCAGGCAACATTATTTCTAATAAAAACCAAAATTAAACGAGAAAATACAGAGATAGCAAAATCCACAAGAGAATTCGAAATTCGAAGAATTCGTTTTTCATAACCTCATAATCTCATAAATGACTTTTTTGATACACTGAGATATTTTCTTTGATCAAATGGAATTCACAGCTCCGTTGCCAAATTTAACTCCATCGATTTCGTTTGATTCCGTATGAAGTCGTATGACGATAGCAAAAGCAAAACGTGGCGTATCGAACACCATACAGAGTAAGTTAAAACAAAGCATGCGCCTCTGCTTCGCTTCGCTTTCGCTATGCTTCTGCTTTGTGAAACGAGTTACAGAGTCCCACTGCAGCTCGCAAATATCGGTCAACTGTCAGCAGTCGACAATCTGACAGTGATAAAGATTCTGACAGTGATATCTTGCTCAATATTATTGACTGAAAATGTAAACAACGAGCACAATATGATAAATCGACTGATAACTAAAATAGTGAAATGATCCTCGCTAAACTGTTGAATATCGTGCGCTCGAACATATCGAAGAAGACTGGCTATCATTCCACAAAAACAACAGCGTGAATGAATATTCGAAATCAGAATCGTGAACTACGGTGGGCAACGACAACAAACCTTGTCTTGGGACCCGATAAACTATTTCGTTTTCAGGAGCTAAATAAAATGATAAATCACGGCAATAGACTATATAAAACTATTTGAGATTGCAAAAAGATAATATCAATGACAAATGATGAATAATACACCCATGAACAAATGAGGAATTGAGACAAAAGTACGTAAACAAAACAATTTCGATGTGCTACCAGTGCAGTATTTTCGTTAGGCAAAAACGAAGTGTAACATAGCTTTGTATGTAGATGATTTTTTTGTTTTTAGCAATGATAAAACTGAAACAAGTTTTTTGAAAAATCACTTATGTAGTAATTTTAAAATCAAGGATCTGGGGGAGGCCAAACAGATTTTGGGAGTAAGAATTAGACAGGAACAGGGTCAAATTAGGTTAGACCAAGAGGGCTATATAGAGCAGGTTTCAAAAAGGTTTGCTATGACCGATTGTAAAGGAGTTGCAACACCCATTGATCCAAATTTGAACTTGGATCAAAGTTCAGAAAAATCTGAATTAATATGTGATGAAAATGTACCATATCAAAAATTGATAGGTAGCCTTATGTACATTGCAGTTTTAACACGCCCAGATATTGCTTTCTCTGTAAGCTTCTTTAGTCAGTTTAATAACTGTTACACTGAAACGCATTGGAAATGTGCAAAAAGGCTGTTGAGATATCTGCAAGCTACAAAAGGAAAATGCCTTACTTTTACAGAAAATGGTTGCAATCTGGAAGGTTATTCAGACGCAGATCGGGGGTCTAATAAATTGGACAGAAAGTCATATACAGGTTTTATTTTTAAACTAGCAGGGGGAGCCATTTCCTGGAGAAGTTTTGAACAAAAAAGTACAGCTCTCAGTAGCACTGAAGCAGAGTATATGGCAATGAGTGAGGCTGCAAAAGAAGCCATATATCTTAGAAGCTTGTATGAAGAGCTTTATGAAGAATTGGATTCATTAATTTTGTTTATTGATAATCAATCAGCTCCGACTTCCCCACTACTTCTAAAGAAAATAATGCCTCAACTACACCAACATTTGCTGAAAAGGTGATTCATGGACCAAAGCAGAAAATAATTGTGAAGCCCAAAAATCCGCAGGAAACTTCTCGTACTAAACAAGACCTTCTTACTTCCGTTAATCCAGTTGATCATGACATTAAATTCGAGAAAGTAAGGCATATAAAAGATGGTGGAATGTTATTCCAATGCAGCCAATCTGCCGAAGCATCCAAGCTGGAAAAAGTTATGCATGAAAAACTGTCTGATAACTATAATGTGCATATCCTGAAAAGTCTGCATCCTCAAATCAGAGTTGTTGGTTATACGGAGAACCTTGATGAAGAAAGTTTACTACAGTACATACTGAAGCAAAATGATACCATTTTCGGAACAAATTCTGATTGTAAAGTTGTTCGTACTGGAGCAACCAATAAGAACAAAGCAATTTTTCAAGCCACATTGCAGGTAGATATGTCATCTTATAAAAAACTGATCAATCAAGGTCACATTCTCATTGGATTTGATAGTTGTTCGGTATTTGATGCTACACATGTTCCTCGTTGTTTCAAATGTAACTCATTCTTTCATAACTCAAAATCTTGTAGAAATGAAATTTGTTGTCCAATATGTTCTGGCGCACACGACCTGAAAGATTGTCAGAAAGATACTCCTCATCAATGCATCAATTGCATAAATCTCAATAAGAACCAGGATGCTGGCTCTAAGGTGAATGTAAATCATGCAGTTTGGGATTATAATAATTGTTCTGCCTATAAAAAAGCAGTGGAAAAATTGAGGAATGAT